AAAAAAAATTAGATTTATATATATAATTATTTTACGAAAAAATGTACTATTGAAAATAAATTTTGAAAAAATAGGTTCGATGAAAAATGGGCATTATATATAACAAAATATGTTTTTGCAGAAAAATAAATAAATGGGTAATGCTACATGTACACACACTTTTACACAATCTTTTATACCTCTCTTACATGGAGGGGGGTCCACGATTATTTTATTATGTGTGGACCCCCTTCCATGTGAGAGATGTGTAAAATATTGTGTACACTTAGCATTATTCATAAATAAATAAAATCTTTCCCTACCTGATTTCCCACTCAAGCCACTAAACACAGGGACCCCTCCTGGCATAAAAGTAGGCATATTTCCTCCTCCGTCGCGCACTCCACTCTCTTTCGCCGCAATTATCTTTCATTCATCAACCATTAATGGCGGCCGCAGCTTCATCAACGAGCCTTAAAGCCTCGCCATCGCCAACCATTGCATCATGGATGCGCCAACGCTCCCTCTCCACCACTTTCGGTGTAACAGCCATCTCTTTCCGCCGCGTCGAGCCTCGCGGCCGCCATTTCGTCGTCCTCTCCATGGACGCCAAGCCGACAATCCTAGTAGCAGAAAAACTAGGCGAAGCCGGAGTGAAGCTTCTCAAGGATTTCGCTAATGTGGATTGCTCTTATAATCTCAGTCCTGAGGAGCTCTGCACCAAGATCTCGCTATGTGACGCGCTGATTGTGAGAAGTGGGACTAAGGTCAGTCGTGAGGTGTTTGAGTCCTCCGGAGGTAGGCTTAAGGTTGTTGGAAGAGCTGGTGTTGGAATCGATAACGTGGATCTGGCTGCTGCGACTGAGCATGGTTGCCTTGTGGTGAATGCTCCTACTGCTAACACAGTCGCAGCGGCTGAGCATGGGATTGCGCTACTCACTGCCATGGCGAGGAACATTGCTCAAGCTGATGCCTCTGTCAAAGCTGGTAATTCATACATAATTGTATCAACACATACATGTATATGATCCGTATTTTGATTTCTGCATTTTTTTTGAAATGAGATTTTTTAAAGTTAAAAGTTGTTCGTAACAATTTTTCTAAAAGTGAATTCGAATCAAAAGGGGAATTTAATTCAATAAAGCTTCAGATTCGGAATATGCAGAATGTTTTTCGGTTTTGATCTGGTAGAATGACCTTAGATCTGATCGTTGTGATCTTTTGAATTTGCAGCCATTTGAATATAAAGATACCTAATGCCGTAGTTATTTTATTTAACAAAAAGACACTTTAATTGACTGAAATTATTTTTTAAATTCAATTAATTTACTCTTCAGAAGTAAGATATTTGTGTTGCCTAAAAGTCATGTGAAAGTTGAGCTTTTGATTTTGTCATCCTTTTGAGGCTCAATGTCATTCAGTCCTTGTGCTCAAGAAGATTTAGTCTGCTATTTAAGAAGCTTTTGCATTGACATTGAAGACTTTTGCTTTCTAAACTTGTTAATTTTCATTTTCTTTGGTTTGGAAACCCCAAGTTTTATGTTGACATTTTGCTAATTCATATAAGAGTTACTGCTTCACTAGCCATTAGAAGTGCACCGTTTTCACAGTGCACATTGCCTCTTAACATCTCTAGCACCAACAGTTTGCTTCCCTTTGATTCTTTTATAGATCCTATATGTAACACAAATATCACAACTAAACATCCCGATCCTGTTTCTCTCAGTATGAGTCATTTCTCCCCTTTATCCCACATCAACTTCTCCTGTTTTTCAGTAGTTTGAGAAACATTAACTAAAGGAATTGTTTTGTGTTGGTCTTGTTTTATAATCTTGTTGTGAGGGATTCACTGAGAATTATTGAAGTATTTTATGTTTTTAAAGTATGATAAAATAAAACAACATAGTTTAAGCCTTTGTTTGGATAAATTATAAATGATTTATAATTAATCAAACTTCATTTTCAACCACACATTTCAATGGACCCACCCCCTTTTAACCTCACATTCCATTTATAAATCATTTATAATTTATCCAAACAAAGGCCAAGTGAATGAAGCTACTATATCCTCTTAGCCCTGTTTGATTGAGCCCATTTTCCATGGAACACATTTGTAGTGTTTGATATGCTTTATTTTCCCCATAAATTGTTTTCCACCCCCAGCAGCCACGCTCCTGTTTTCTTGGCAATTGAGGAATTGGTTTTCTTTAGGTTTTGGTGGGAATTCTGTTTTCCGGCTTTTTTTTTTCTTTGTTTCTTTTTGGCAATTAGAAAATATTCTAGACACAATGATAAAAAAAATTATCACTTTTATTGATAATTTTTATGTAAAACAAAGTCAAACGAATGGTATTCGGTATGGTTTTTTTTTTTTTTTGGCAATTGGAACAAATGTTAGACTCAATGGTAAAAAAAAATTATCATTTTAATGGACAATTTCCATAAAAAAAAAGTTAGGACACTAAACTTTCAACATTTTCTAGGTGGAAAATTATACCCATCAAACACAATTAATTACAATTCCCAGTAAAACAATTTTTAGACAATTCAATTCTCTGGAATTCATTTTCTTTTCACCCATTTTCTACCTTTACAATCAAACGGACCCTTAGTTTTTTGATAATCCATGGATCTCAACTCATGAGTCAAGCTATTTTTTAATTCCAAGCCTTTTTTTCAGATGTTAATAGTTTGTTGCTGCCATTTGCACCTCTAGCTTCAAAATTAATATAATCACTTGAGTTATTAATAATATAATCAATCCAGGTAAATGGGAGAGGAGCAAATACGTTGGTGTTTCACTTGTTGGCAAGACACTTGCTGTGATGGGTTTTGGCAAGGTTGGAACTGAAGTTGCTAGGCGTGCCAAAGGGCTTGGTATGCATGTTATTGCACACGATCCATATGCCCCAGCTGACCGCGCTCGTGCAATAGGAGTCGAGCTTGTGAGCTTTGATGAAGCTATATCATCTGCAGACTTCATCTCGCTTCACATGCCACTTACTCCGTCTACATCTAAAATTCTCAATGACGAAAATTTTGCAAAGATGAAAAAAGGAGTGAGAATCATCAATGTTGCACGTGGGGGAGTGATTGACGAGGAAGCTTTGGTGAAGGCCCTCGAGTCTGGCATTGTAGCCCAGGTTCTTGCTTCATTATCCTGGGAGAACAAATGATTAATTATTTGATTATTTGAGACATAAAGTGAAACAGTGATAATCAAGCGATATATTACTAATTATTACTTAGAAAATCTTTATCGCAGGCAGCACTTGATGTTTTCACCGTGGAGCCACCACCAAAGGACAGCAAATTGGTGCAGCATGTGAATGTAACTGCAACTCCTCATCTTGGAGCTAGTACCATGGAAGCTCAGGTTTACAGAACGTTGCACTAATTTTCTGTATGTTTTCTACTTCTTGTTACCATGTCACAAAATAATGTTCAAACTCTTAAACAGGAAGGAGTGGCCATTGAAATAGCTGAAGCTGTTGTTGGAGCCTTGAAGGGGGAGCTTGCTGCTACTGCTGTCAATGCACCAATGGTTCCTTCGGAGGTATTGCTTCTAATCAATTACATAAATTTATTTAATTTTGCATCAAAATTTTCATTTCAATTGTCAGTATTTATCCATAACCTTTTTCAATTTCTCTTTGATTTAATAAAGTGAACACAGTATTTATGGAAAATGATAACTGAAGAAAACTTCAGGTGTAAAATTATTATTTTCACTTTGTCCACTAACTTCTATGGATTTGTTTAACCAAGTGTGTTGAACTTGATATTGCACTTCTATTTTTTTTCTATATTCATTTATTTTCTGGGTGGAAACACATGTCAAAAGTTAATCAGTGAAGCTGTAGGTATCTTGTTTTATAGTCAATCCTCTTGATTATTGCAGGTTCTGACTGAGCTGAAACCATTTGTGTCACTTGCTGAAAAACTTGGTAGACTTGCAGTCCAATTAGTCGCAGGTGGGAGCGGTGTGAAATCTGTGAAAGTTACATATGCTTCTGCTAGAGCTCCAGATGACCTTGACACAAGGCTGCTTCGTGCCATGATTACCAAGGGTCTGATTGAGCCTATTTCCAGTGTTTTTGTGAACTTGGTGAATGCTGATTTCACTGCTAAGCAAAGAGGTCTTCGCATAACTGAAGAACGGATTGTCCTGGATGGTTCCCCTGAAAGTCCACTTGAATTCATCCAAGTTCAAATTGCCAACGTGGAATCAAAATTCGCCAGTGCCATATCTGATTCTGGAGAGATCAAAGTTGAGGGTCGGGTTAAAGATGGAATTCCACATTTGACAAAGGTCGGATCTTTTGAAGTGGACGTGAGTTTAGAAGGCAGTATCATCCTCTGCAGGCAGGTTGATCAGCCAGGAATGATCGGAAAGGTGGGTAGCATTTTGGGTGAGGAAAATGTAAATGTGAGCTTTATGAGTGTTGGGAGGATTGCTCCAAGGAAGCAAGCCGTAATGGCAATTGGAGTCGACGAGGAACCAAGCAAGCAGTCACTGAAGAGGATTGGAGAAATTTCATCTGTTGAAGAGTTCGTTTACCTTAACTTGTAAGGCATGTTTGGTACGTAGTACTGGATGATTCGACAGAATAACGAACTAGATTTTTACTTCTTTTTCTTTCTTGGCGAGTTTCATATGATCCTTCTTACCAAACATGCCAATAGTAATAATATCCATGCTGTGCGCAATTTTGATTTGAGTTGTATCTTTTAGCTAAGGGAAATAAATAATCCGGCTGTGCAATTAGAATTACGTTCATTGATTGAATGTCGACACATTGTAACGAATTTTGTTATAAAGAGCGTGTTAGCTCCCCTTGGATAAAATTGTTCTCTTTTCCCATACGAGAAAATACTTGGAATATCTGAACTGTTTGTGTTCTTTGTACAGTAATTCCTTCCTACATATGTGCATTAGTATCACCTTCAGTAGTACAAATATTCGTCATTGCTGAATGGTGCTTAATTGAAAAGATTGTGTTACTCCGATAATGTTCGTGCACTACTACACTAGAGATCATGCTTGCCTGAACTTACTTGTGACCCTTCACAATTCATCTGACATGCTCAGGATGAACAAAAATTAGGGATTGGATTTAGGAAAATTTCGTGCCAATGATTGAGATATTCAGTCACTCTCTTCCCATTTGTGGGCATGGGGACCCTTACGAAAAATCAGAAAGGAAGGAGATAGATTATCGAACGCGGCATGGACAGGCCCTTCAGCTAAGGATGGGAATGAGCATTAGCAAAACATGCACCAATACGTTCTGATTTTACTAGGTAATCTGGATTCCACTTATAAATATGATGAATTCAGCACCAACTGGAATCCATACATGGGCACGAAAGCCTTGCTTACAAAATATTATACTTTATTATATTCAAGATTCTACTTATTTCTTCAGAAAGTAAGTGTACAAGGTAGTCTAATTATCGATTAAAGTAAAAACTAGTTCAATATTCTTCTTCTTCTTCTTGCCTGGTCTTGAAAGATTTTTCTGACTCGTGAGCAAAATTACATATTTCCTGGGGAAAGTCCCACAATCGATTAGACAACTGTAGCTGCATTTGCTGAGAGCACAGAAGGATTGTTACTGAAAATAAGCATCCGACTATAACCGTGATGATTTACGAGCCCGACAGAAATGGAACGTGAGCTAGAGTTGTTGGGAGGGAAACATTGAGATTATGAACTGCAAGGTATGCAGCAACCCCAGCTACGTAACCAGCAAGAGCAAAACCACTTACCTGAAATAGAGAGAACAACATAATTCGCTAAAAGTAAGAAGATAGATTTTGGTACAAGCAGATGATGTACAGAAGCAAGTACCTTCTGGAAGTACCAAAAGAAGTCAACCTTTTCCATTCCCATAAATGCAACTCCCGCAGCAGAGCCGATAACCAACATGGATCCACCTGTACCAGCACAATATGCTACCAATTGCCAGAACTCAGAATCCTGAGGAAATGAAGAGAGATCATACATTCCCATTGTTGATGCAACCAGTGGGACATTGTCTATAATACACGACTCCTATGGAACTAGCAATCAGTTCAACGTTGGGAATATGGGCATCAAGGTATTTGGCTAATTCCCTCAGGATACCTGCTGCCTCCAGGCTACCAAGAAGAATTTTAACTTGTCATTTTAAGAAACTTGTACCGTAAAAATTATTAAAGGCAGCTTTAGCCTAGCACTGTATTTCAGAAGCACGAGATCCATCCTACACATAGGAAGGAATATGAAATGCAAACAATCTCATGTCTAAGAGTCAACAATGTAGTGTAGAAAATTTGAGCATCCTAAGCTAATAAGCTTAAAAGGTTTAATTAAAAATAAGTTTTAAAATAAATAATATTTTATTGGTTAAAGTTGGCACTAAGTTTCTTATTTTGACAGTACAATAGCAGTTACATCCAAAATAAGTACCTTTTTTTTTTTACCTCAAGTCAGAAAAAGGAAGCAGGTGACTTTATATGCACGCGATTACAAAACAGCGCCAATTTTGATTCCATAAAGTGCTTTGGCAGCACTAGAGGGTTCTCCCCCACACGAGCCAACCCCCACCCAAAAGAAAAATTATTAAAAGGTCCCATACTTGCCATTGCATCAGAACACAGATATTCATTCAAGACAAACTGAACAGTACACCAATACAAAATACTTGTGAGCACCTGCTGACAGAGACAAGGATTCCGAGGAAGAAAAGAGCTCCTTGAGTATCAATGCATGACAAAGCTTGTGGTACTTTCAATCGCTGTCTCTCGGATTCACCATAGTGAATGGCATCCGTCAGGATCCACAAAACTCCCAGCCAAGTAGAATACCCATGTAAGGAGGTAAGCCGGTTAAAGCCTTGACAAATGGGACAAATAACAAAGCCCCAATTCTGGTAGCAAAAACAAGCTTGCCTCGAGGAGCCATTTGCTCAGATGCCAAAACAGTTGCAGAATTTTGTCCTTTCCCATTTACTTCACTGAATCAAGGAATATGTATTTCGATGTATTGTACACATAGTAAGAAACCAAACATCGTTCTGCATAAATATATCACAACTGAGCTTTCTGAATCCAATAGTACCTCGTAAGTGACATTAAGGCCAAAGGGACAGCGAGTGAAACAGCTGATGGTACAAGTAAATCCTGTGGAGAACTTTAAAAGTCAAGTAAAAAATACATTATTGATGCTGCACTTCTTGTCATCCAGTCAACACATTCACAGTCAATAAATATAAAGCTTGTTTACAATATTTTCACAGTTAGATGTAACAACCAAAATACCTTCATCGTCTACAATGTGGATATCTGACCATGTATCCAAAGCATAGTAGTTGTAACGTCACCAATAGGACTCCACGCTCCACCAGCATTTGCTGCTATGACCACAACACCTCCCAGAAGCCTGCAAACCACATTCTTGATTCATTAAACAACCTTTAAACAAGAAATTTCCATTTCTTGTGTTACATACTGAAAGAAAATAGATGCTTGCACTCATCCAAGGTCATAAAAACATTTTCATAAACTGAGTTTCCAAACTCCTGTTCCACCATTGCAAATAACCTTCCTTGTCAGACTATTAAGATATACATAAATTTTGATATCAGAAATTGTAGTTTGCATGTTAAGCATTAATCCAAAATACAAGAGCAATAACCAATAGAAAAGCAATCAAAAATCGAGCAAAGCACGTAAAAATTTGTAGTGGTTGGTGTTCAATGTGAAAGCTACAAAAAAAGCACGCCCCTGAAAAATCCTGTATATATGTCAACGCATAACACTTCATAGAGATTCCATAAACCTCTCAACATTTCTCAGGCTTTCCTATAGAATCTTTGCTTCAGGATATAAGAACCTAATTTGCTCCTTGCTTTTAAGTTTTTAATTAATGAAAGGAAGTTGTTCGTAACAAAGTAGGGCTAATTACCTGTCTCCTTTACAGACTCAAGGAATTGGAAAATACATAATGGACATAGAACCTGAAACATTTAAGTGTTCCCAATCCATGTGAGAAATAAAAATGGTGGCTAGGGGCCACTTACTTGCAGTATTCAGAAGGTGATAACTGATACCAATTTTCTCAATAAGGAGACCATCACAATGGTAGAAGTCAGGTTGTCAAGGACAGAACTGAGGAAAAATGTCACAAAACCTACCTGTGGTTATTAGCATTAATCAATTGCACACACCAGAATGTAGATTTCATATACGTCTAGATTGCTTAATGACTATCAACCTCCACATGTAAATAAACTTAAGTTTTTTTTCTTTCTAGATCTTTCACAATTGCTTTATAATTGCAAAGCTTTTAACAAAATTTGAGTTTTGGCCATCGTTGATCCATGATAGTTGCAAAGGATCTAGTTGGAAGTTTTAACTATAGTTATTATATTATTCAATACATACGAGGCATATCTTTCTAGGCTTCTGAAATGGAAAAGGAACATATCATCTCTAACCATTTTTCCCAGAACAAGAATCAAAGTTACAAAAATTTCCATGTTAAATGGAATATCAGATATGGTTAATCATGTAGCACTAAGTAGTTAGATGTCTTTTTTCCCTTCCTTTCCATTGAGATGTAGGATGACTTTATTTGATTTAGAGACTGAGTTCTATCTAGACAAAATGAAAAAACAAGCTCTGTGGCATATTTATGTACTTATTGTAATTCAGAGCTTGATAAAAAACTCAAAAAAATTTGGGCAAGCATATACAATCAACTAAAGTTGTAAACACATACACATTTTCTACCAAAAGGAACACTAACCACCCAAAGCAGAGTTCTTGGCTTGCGAGTAGTGATGTTGTCCGTGACCAACTTGAATCCCTGATGAGCATCAACTATCTCCACAATGGTCATTGCACCAAGCAGGAAAAATACTATTTCACTTACTTCAGCAGATGCATGCGACAACTCTGAAACAGCCATTTCAGTTGAAGGGGCCTGCACATGGACATTGGACAGCCTAGAAATCATTGTGCACAAGTTTTTTTTTGAATTTACACTTCAATCCATGTTTAGTACACAATGGTGAACAATATAATGAACAAGTTTTTAACTTCTTTTTAATATTTAATACTATCTAGTGCTTCCAATCCTCCTTTAGAAAATGCACAAATCAAAAATGGTTTAACAGTTTGGAAAACACCCCCTATAAATTACTTTGCGCACAAATACCCAAAATTTTTTTTTGTATCTTCTTTGTTCATGTGTTTTTTTCTTCTTTATTTTTTTTTTTTTTTTTTTTAAAATCTCCCAAAATCTTGTGATTAATGAAAGTCAAATTTTAAGATTATATTTGAGTACTTTCTGCTACCATGGAAACTTTTATAAAAATATCTAAAAGTCATGAAAATTTGAATACCCTAAGACAATAGAGACTTCTAAAAAATTTTAATTGAATACACCTTGACTTTTAGAGACATTTTAAAAGTTTATAAAAGTCTCAATTGAATAAACAAATACTTTTTGAGAGTTTCCAAAAATTTACATTAAACACTCATAAACTTTTTAAATCCAAAAAAGTTATTAAAAGTCTGAATTCAATAACACCCCCATAATTTTATTTTTATGTTTAGGTTTTTCAATCTAAATATCAACAATAAAAATAAGTAAACCCGAGGCTAAAAGACA